TTGGAAATAATAAATTTAACAGCAGAATACGTCCTAGCAATAAAATAAAGTGACTTCTAAGGACTGAACGTTTTTTTTGCGAACCTTGTATACGGGGCCCGGTTTTAGTTATAAACCGACGTTAGCTGCACGTTCATGTCCTACCATGGCAACAGCCGAAAACATGATACTTGTTTTTGAGCGGAGCGGATGCCAACCAGCCTACCGGCTTGTTTTATAAACTGGCTTGGTAATTCCCACCACCAATAGTAGACCATGTCACAGCATTTCAAGTACTTTTCCAACAAATCCAAAATTACTCGATATTTGTACTATGATTACATTTTAAGTTTTGATAATTTTATGGATACATGTACACTCACAAAAATACACCCAAACTAAGGGAATTTAGTATATAGCCTTGACAAAAAAGCATAATTTTCTTGTCTTAATATTTCTTTTTTTTTTCTATCTGTGTAACTTCATGTGGATATCCTGGTGAGATTTAAAGTTCAGTTCACAACTAACGGTTTTACAATATTAGAGGCTGTGAACTTGTCCATGGAGGCTGCAAATTATTAAATATTGTATTCACTGACATTTATTTTGTATTTGCATTTGCAATGAGTTCCACAGTATCTTTTTCTTACTGGTGTTTTTGTTTTGTCGATTGTTGTCAGTTGTTTGTTTTGTGTTCTTGGAATTTTGTACAAAAATCAACAGCGGTTAGATAGGTATGTTATTTCCATTATGCAGTATATTGTAGACAGTACTTGTATACTTTGTTATCCAGCATAAATATCAGATTGTTCGAAAGCATGAAATTGTAATGTAAATTTCGTTCATTAATGTTGTAAGATGGCGCTTTCTCCGGGGCCTTCAGAGTCTCACTGGCATGTTGACTATGTTTCGGCCCGTTTACTTACTTGTTGTCAGTGTCTGAGCACAGGGAGCCCAGGAACTATAATCAACTGTAATACGCAGTCTGTATGAGCGGGGGGGGGGGGGGGTATCGGCTGGTATCTAGTGTAAGAAATAGACAAGGGATGAAGGCTCCAGCCAGCTCACATTTTTTAAACTCGAAAAAACAGACGAAAAGAATGAAAAATAAAATCTAAAAAAAATAACAGGTTGAAGAATATTAGTTGCTTCTTCAAATTTCGCCAAAGCCCTACCTACATTTTACCGATATCTGCAGAATAAATCAAGAAAACTACACAAATTTACTCCATTTTGGAATTCCTAACGGTTTGCCCGAACGCATGGCACAG